AAAAAATATTCTGATCTGTATGTTTTGAAACTGTTGAAAGTTATTAAACCAAACAGGAGTACTGGATGTTTTAACAGAGTCTGGACAAACTGTCAAAGTAAGATCTAAAGATAGTATGAGATGTAGAAAACTGGTGTATTGTCTTCATTTGAACCATTCATTTCATTTTTGTTAGCTAATTATGTATGTATTATGGTATGTATAACTAAAATAAATGCATATTATGAACCATGTACAGTATGTTACACTTAATTAATTAGTACTTGGTATATATAGGACATATGAGGGACTGTCCCTGTTTTTTAAATGAAGGGGTGAAGAATAGGAATTTTGTCAATCATTTTTTACCCTTTGATAACTGGCATTTGTAGGAGAGGAGATTTAGTATATTGTCAGCATGCAGACATGTAGCAGCAGAATGTACTGTGGGCCTTTACTACACCAGTTCAGACAGTGGTGATGTTGTAGTGTCAATGGTAAGAACAAAGCAAGATGGGTTTTGTAGATCAGAGAGTAAAAACTGCAATGGCATTTTCTCTGAATTCATTACCAAATCACACATTTGTGATAGAGGATGTCATTCCCAGTGGTGCTTGTTTAATCATTGAATTGCTCTTAATAAGGTGTAATATTTTATATACTGGAAATGTCTTCTTTAAAATTCTTCTGTTTTCCATGCTATTTTGGAGAGCTGTGTGAGTACTTTGTAGCTGCAGTCTTAAAATTCAGACCACATGTTAAAACACTTCAGCTTTACGGTTTCTTTGTGTTATTTTCATATTTGACCAATCGTTTTCATATCTTTTCCCTTATACTGTATGTTATAGACTTCTTACAAGTTCAAAGGCCTCCAATATATTTGGAAAACATTTCTCAGGCGGTTTTGAAAAATTGAAATCGATATAATTAATGGGTGGAAAATGTGGTTCAAGTTCTACATTAAAATGCTTCTCTTTTAATGAAAATAAAAATCCCATAAACTGAGGCAAACACATCTATTAAAGCAGCTTCAGCCATTTTTAATCTTTATTAACAGTCTGTGCGTAAAAAGAGATCTATTAAAATGCATATTTGTAAACTATGATTGCTACTGAGGGGCAGTGTTAGGTGTTTGGTTGTCTTTTTTTTTCTGGTCCCTGTGATTAATATTTACAGTTATTCTAAAATATAAATCATCCTCCTCGTTATCCACTGCTCTCCTTTACAGTCTGTTTTAGAGTTTTTATATGAGATCGAGGCTAAATATAATATCACTTAAGTAGTTAAATAGATAAATGCATACTTACCTTTGGAATTATATCATAATCCTGTGTCCTAGGCAAGAGAGGTCGAATTTGGCTAGTGGGTTGGTCTTCTCAAAGTCCAGTTAATGTGTCTTTTAAAAATACTACTCGGAAAAAATATAATTGCAATTTGAATAACTGTTTTCCATTCCACTGGGAGCATGTTCTGAAAAAAAAATGAAATGATTAAATGATTCAATAAAATTAGATCATATTTATATGGATTGAACTGTTCTTTTATGGATCTATTTTATTTTCTAAGAAACAATTTAAAAGTAGTACATACACTATATAGACACTTAAACTGTTCTTTTGCATAGTACATGACAAAAAAACACTTTTCAATCCATCCACTTTTATGATTCTTTAATTCAAAATATTCCTGGGCCTATAACTTGTACAAATTGTTTGATCAAAACTGATTTCTACCTGATTTTAATGAAAACTGGTGCTCTATGGTGTAGTATATCATGAAGCGTACACGACAAGTGCGTTTATCCATCCTGTTATGCCAGTTTAAAATAAACTTTCTAAGTGTCCTAAAAATGAAATGAATTGTACTTATTGCCAGCTATATTCGCTTGATGGGAATGAATGGATTGGACGGACCATTGTTCAGCACAATGATCTTTAGCTCCTTGAGGTGCTTCTTGAGTTTTGAATTTTGGAGTTTTCATGTTGGCAGATTATACTACGAAAGAGAGGAGGCCGATTTCGTGTCACAGTCGCCAAGGGGGAAGAGGTGTTTTACCTTGCGTTTGCATCACACGGGAGATTTTTGACTAAAATAGTTTGAATAATAATAATAGTTCCTTACACTTATATAGTAAGGATAAATACTTATATATTTCTGGACACTCCACTCAAAGCTCTTTACAGGTAATGGGGATCCCCTCCACCACCACCAGTGTGCAGCCCCACCTGGATGACGTGACGGCAGCCATAGCGCACCAGTACGCTCACCACACATCAGCTCTCAGTGGGGAGGAGAACAGAGTGATGAAGCCAATTCAGAAATCTGGATTATTGGGAGGCCATGATTGGTGAAGGCCAGGGGAAAATTTGGCCAGGACACTAGGGTAACACCCCTACTCTTCTCAAGAAACACCCTGGGACTTTTAATGACATGGAGAGTCAGGACCTTGGTTTCATGTCTCATCTGAAGGACAGCACCTTTTTACAGTATAGTGTCCCCGTCACTATACTGGGGCATTAGGACCCACACAGACCGCAGGGTGAGCTCCCCCTACTAGCCCCTCTCATACCTTGTTCCAGCACCAATCCTAGCTTTTCCCAGGAAGTTTCCCTTCC